AAATAACGGAAGAATTAGTAGACAATTTAGTATGTAAATAATGGATTAGCAATTAGTACAAAAACGTCAGTCATCATTTGATTCAATGATAAACTGTATTTGCTGACAAAGTCATTGTATCGACCATAGAAATGATCATTTTAAACGAGACTGCTGATATTCTTGTTTCATTAACTTGTTTGTCAATAATTTACATCGCTTTAGAAATTATACATACGTAGAGCATGCTCTTGCGTATCGAATCATATGAGAAATATAAACCCCTAATGAAGGTGATGAAGGTATATTGCTACATAAGTAAGTTAAGTTAACAAATTTGCTTTGTTCGTTTGATCTTTAACGTCCCTCTCGAGAATTTAATCTCAATCGGAGACGCCACCACTTACCGGCGGAGGGTAACGAAATAATACTTATGCTCGGCACTCAGAACCATTGATAATTGAGAGATCTTTTTCGTGCCAACACCCTCTGCGACAACGGGCCTCGGTTAAAACAGTCTTATCTGAAGAACCAGTCTCTACGCTACTCAATTTCGATGAATGATTTTCTCCGTATACATGATTCCTTTCTTCAAAACAATAAATAAGATTTAACGAGATTGAAAACTATATGTATTCATCATTTTCAATGATTTTCATTTCTTACACCACTTCATTGTCGATGTTGACAAGAAAAAATAGCTACGTCGCTTCCCTTTCCTCTTTTACCCTTAATCTAGTCAATAAGAGTGCCATGTTCTCACAAACTAATAGATAGGCAGATTCATCTGAAGAATAGTTTTTATTTGTTTAGTAGATACATTACTGAGATATTGTATTGCCCTAATTGTGCGCATGGTTAAAGCATTACATCTAACCTCTAGAAGAACGGAGATTATCCTTATGTCGCAAATTCGATATCTTTACGGGATGTGGAGACCTTAGGATAAGACATAAGACATATAAACCAAGGTCCCGTGTCGCAATATGTGCTGCGAAGAAAAGATCCCTCACTGCTAAAACAAAGTATAGGACTTTTAAATTCCACCACAGACAAACAGTTATGGCGTATCAATATGTATAAAAAAATTCCCAAAAGGCACGTAAATCAAATTTATAACAATAAATATTTAAAAGCGACTGCTTTTGATGGTACTGGTGATTTCTTATTTTGATGAGAAACAGTTCAAAAACAAATTTTTATTGCAATTAAGTTCCAAAAATGTATGACCAGTAATTGTTAAAAAAATGAGCTGTATTTTCAAGGCTTTTTTTCTGAGTTTAACAGTGTATAATCGGAAAACAAAAATTTCTAGTCAAGTTTATATTTATTTATTCACCGATCAAGGGCCCTTAGAGGGCATATACAATTAAAAAACAATATAATCATGATTATATAACAACATCATCAGGTAATTGTTGCATCAGGTGCAAAATTGGCGTTATCCTCACTTGAAAAAGTTCTCAGATTTAAAATACTGGTATATAATTCACAATGAAATATAAGCATCACATATAATATAATAATGATACAATATAAAAAAAAACAAGCTGCTTTACACTTCAATGACCAGACGGATAATAGCAAACAAGTACGCTAATCATAAATTTACTCCTATTATTACAAAAAGTATATATTTTGCTGGCCTGGCAGCATATGGCACCAAGGGCCGATGCCTATTGAGCAGTCTGGGACAATGAAACTCTTGAAAACCAGCTTGCTCGGTTTTGTACCCTTAGCAACCAAGACAGCTTACAGGAGGAAAACTTGATTTGTTGGCTTGACTACTTGGGACACCAAGGGACGTTATAATTGAAAACAAAAAAGTAGTATTGTTACAAAATGCCTAAATAATTTTAACTTTAATTGCACTTTAGAAAGATCTAAAAAAAAAATTACCCCAATTGGAGGTAAAATATTTTATCAATATTAATTTAAAAGTATTTGTATCTTTATATATATATATATTTTGGTTGAGACACAATTAAATGAAGTACTCTTGTTTAGAATGTTTTGTTGATGTTCCTTTTGAGGTAACTATTTGTATTGCATGATTTAGTTAATATATGAATGAACTGAATTGATACTACACCGTGTTATTCAATTGTTTTAACCCTGGTATTTACATTTCTTAATCTTAAAACCCACAAAGCTATTACAATTCTTTGTTATAAAAATCTAGAAAAAGTTTCATTTAAAATTGAGTTCGGAAAAATCTGCCCAGTAATTGTATTATTTTTTAAGTATTAGTGAATTATTCTCAATATAGATGCAATATTAAGTCATTTGTTTTATTTTTGTCCCTCAATGAATTGCAGTCGACCTGTAAGTGTAACAGAACAAATCAATTAATTTCAATAAATCTGCACTCAAAGTATAAAAACGGAACGTGACCGGTAACAATTTAAGATTAGGTAATATTTTGTTCTGAAAGAGATTGTTCATACGAGATACAACATCATTACGGATGTTTATTGTGAATAAAAGGTAGTATGCTTAACTTATTTTTTCAGAAAATGAAACATTTTGCAGTGAAAAATTATTTAATTTCAAAAACACGTTTGCACTCTTAAAGATAAATCAAGAACAAGGTGTGTAAAGCGTTGTATTCTGTGCGACATCTTTGCACTATTAATCACCTCTTTGAGAAAGAAAAACCTTTCCTTACAAAAATTAAATTTTCAAAGAAGGTCAACAAATTAATGCATGTTAGCATGTTTTTCCGGCACCACCTAGGTAGTATATAAAAGTTGGTGGGATACGACGATTTCTCCGTTAGCCACTGATCATTAATTTGTTTCATCCTTTCTCATTAAGCAGAGTAACTAATTGCTCGGCAGAGGAATTGGAAATTGACCACAACCTGAAATTATGTGCCATTTTTGGATGTAAATTCATTTTCGAATGCTCTGAGTTATGTCATTGCACTGAATAGGTTTGAGTGCGTATCTTTCGTTTTCCTATATATTCCTCACAACAGAACTCAAACTGTGAAAATGAACATGGAACTTTGAAAAAAAAAGAGGTTTTTTTATTACTCAAAATTCTTACAGAGGTATGTAAATTCTATTTTTAAGAGTAATTTTAAATTTGTTTATGATATGTATATTTTCCTTTGGTTTCCATCAACATCTCTCCTCATCTGGAATTTCCAAACTAATGTCCGAAACATCTGTCGATAATGATATTTTCTTGTCACTTTTAATGATTGTTTGTAGAATTTGATGCACATAGACACCCCCCTCCAAACTTTTAGCATTTTAAAGAAACAAAATTGGAAAGTAATACACATATTATAACACCTAATTAATCTGAATGTTTTATGCCGTAACCAAATTAAAACTAGTAATATGCAAAGGTTTTGTGATGTTTCCTTAAAACATTCAAATGTTTATAAAACTGATCTGTCTCTAGACAGTTTTATTACTTGTGTCTCCATAACATCACACTTACATGAAAATAAAACATCACAAAATTTCTCAACACTTTATCTACACTGTCTCTTTTTTACATCTTTATGTGTGGTCCACGTTAAAGGATACATGTTTGGAATGATTATTGTTGCATTCCTTGTATAGAGCAAAAAGGTTGTAGTTTCTTAATTAGAAGGAAATTTTGAAATAGGGCCAAAATTACATTAAATAATATCAATCTTCTAATGCCTGCAGGAATTGTATTTTATTTTATAAAAATATTTATGGAAACAGATGGTTTTTCTTCGAATGATTATTTTAATTATTCCTTTTACAGGTCTATCCCCTTTGGAGAAAGACTTTAATTCAGGCAAATCAAAGATTGCACACTGTAAAGGGGATTAATTTCACGGGTTGTAATTTTCACGCTTTTCTCTCATCGGAAACTATCGCAGTTTCTTGAATTCGCGGAATTCTTATGTAATAGAAGTTACCTCCCTTGTCTATATCCTTTTAATCAATAGGCACATGTAAACGACATTCATCTGTTACGTCTTTCTTTCACGAACAACAGGGTTGGCTAATATAAAAGTTAGACTTAATAAAATATTGTCGATTAATTAAAACAGGTGCAGTTATCAAAAGTCCTTGACTATAAACGTCAAATAACGTCCTATATTCTCTTACGATGAGTGCATGTACACCCCAAGATCTTCAATACATCGCGGCAAAAAACACTGGACTGTAATGTGTTAATGTTGGTCGACGAAATAAATATCCTTCCAAATCTTCAGCTCCTTCGATAGGTTATTTGAATGATTTTTTAAAATCAAAATGTCGATAAAAACTATAATATGCACGATAATGCAGGTAATGCACACACCGTGCGTGGTAACATTAGTTACGCACGGGTAATCAAAACTCATGGCCCACGTGTTTTGATTGATGAAACGTGTAGCGTTGGCTATTAAAGCCTTTTAAAAAATACAGGTTATTATCTGTTGACTTGAATTAATGTAAAGCGTGCAAATTAAAATAATTGAATGACAAGCACTACTAGGAATTACTGAAATGACCAGTACTGTGGTTCATGTATTTAAACCTATCATAGCCTGTTCTCAAATTTCCAAATAAAACATGGAGATTATTGAAAAATTAATCACTGTTTCTTGAATTCACGGATTTATTTTCCCCCTATACAGTACCCCTGTCTTTACCTATGTTTCCTTAAGGTTAAATGCAGGAAAACGTGTTTTTTTGTTTCCATCTATACTATATATCATGAATGAATTGAACTGCTTCCCTCGACCAATACACTGTAATAATTTTAGGTGCAAAATAAAAGTGAACAAACTGACATTTCACCCACTTACATTTGACTTTTAAAATTGTACCAAAAAGCATTTCGGAGCATCAAGTGGACTATCACTGGATTCAGCCCAGAGTTAACAACACTTCTTTTATCTAGGATTAAAAAAAATGAATGTAAACTAATTACTTTCTTGTGAGTAATGGACGTACACCCAAAAAAGGTTAAAATAAAGGAAGATCTAACTAACCTGGCAATAAAAGAATTAAGTAATGTTCCCATTTTTGTTTCCTCTACAGGTCTCCTGAAGGTATCGGGCAATGTTCCCTCCTATTGGTATAAAGATTTCTAACACAGCTCTGTGGGTCATTCTGTCCATTCTCTTTGTACAGTTACATTATACAAAGGAGTTCTCATGGCCCCAAGCCAGGGGGCAACAAGGTAAGATACTTTACATTACTATATGTTCAAGATATCTTTTTTTTGCGAGAAAGGTATTTAATATTTATAGGCAAAACTGAATTTTCGGGAGATAGGGTATTTATTCTATATCTTAATAATATAAACATTTGAAAAAATTACATTTCTGTGAGCAGACAGGCTCACAAATTTTGGCCAAAATAAAGTGCTTGCAAAACGTTAAAAGTGATTTACTGTAGTAACGTACATGTTTATTTAAAAAAATGTATTTTTAAAATATTGAAAAAAATTAAGAAAATTATTTTAATTGAAATTTTTTTTTTAAAAAATCGACTGATAGAGGAGCTTAATAAAAGCAAATCGAAATTCAAATAGATTTATGGATACCTCAATTACTATTTAGATGTTGACAATGAATCATTCTACTTCCCTTTTAATGTGAATCCTTATATACTGAATCAGAACATTTTAAAAAAGTTTTTAAAAAGTTCGTTGATTATCATGCAAACTATATAAAAACTTTCTAGCTTTAGTTTTTTTAAATGAAGGAGCTATTGTTTTTGACATCATTAAATCGAATTATTCAATCAGTCAAGAAAGTGAACGTAAATTCCTTGACATGGTCAAGTTAACAGAAAAATCTATTAACAATTCAGTGCTCAGTTTTTAAAAAGACCAAGTATCTGTATCATAAATATAAGGTACCTTGCTCAAAAGAAAAATTGTATGTGCAAACAAGATTTAGTATCTACCATTTAATATAAGAATTTACTTTGAACATCATATATCACCTATATAATTGTCAAATTGTATGCAGACGGTTTTTTAGCTAATTCAAGCAGTTCTAATACCTATACGACCAACAGACTTTGGTGATTGGGTCCTCTGTGCTATGTAAAGATGTCACTTTAAATTATCTAAGTTTTCAGTAAAGAGGAAAAACAAAGTCAATGTATTTCTTCATTATGAGCCTTTATGAAAACAGGATAAGAATATTGGACTTTGGAAATGAAGTCAAAAATATTTTTTTACACAACCACCATGCGAAGACATTTTAGAAAATCAGTTTGAGAAATTTAACTTGATTCATTTGCATGTAAACATCACAAGTTTAATCTTTTCTTTAAAATATAGGTAAAGTGATTCTGTACGTAATTATTTCATTTGTATAAACAGTTTAAACACGAAATACGATAGCATTATATTTTTTCAGTAAATTTTAACATCACCCACTCCGGTAGACAATCCATGGCCAGAAGTATTAATCTGAAGCCAGAGATATGGAAAGATCAAATAAAACGTCGGATCTGTGAAATAATTCGATGCAACGGTCGGACTCTACAGAGGAAAAACGATACTTCCAACAATATCATCTTCACTCCATTGAAGCCCCCTTCATTTGACAAAAAAGATGTTGAAATTGTCAAACCTCCCGTGGTAAAACCAAAACCGGTATTTTCAAGTCCATCAGGCAAGTAAAATGAATTGCGTGTTAGTTTATTTAATATATGTGTCTCATGTGTGTTTTCAGTACACAATGTCCAGCCATTGCAACTTATTTTCTAAACTGCAAAAATGTGGTTTTTGAAAAAGAATTGATAAAAGATATAACTCTTAATAGCTTTTTTTAAAAAAAAAATAAGGAAAAACTCTATTGTATGTCGTAAAATTACCCAGTTACATGTAGAAGAATCATTAAAATCAAATTCAATCTATAATTTACAATTTCTTTCTTTAAAGGCACATCTGAGTACTGCAATAAAACAATTTATGGCCAGATGATACAAACAAATTTTTCTTTGGCGGAGACTTAATATCACCTCATAGGTTTAGAAAAGTGGATAATTCTTTGATTTTTTTTTTCTTAGACCTGGAAATTGAAATAGACTTGGAAATATTAGTTAATACTTCAATAAAATATCAAGTTTGGACAAATCCCACTCAGGAAAGGTTTACAGATGAAAACAAATTTCAGAATATGTAAGCCTGGTGCTAAAAGTGTAATATAAATCTTACAAAAATATACCAATCCAGGTAAACTTTAAGAAAAATTTGCAAAAATGGTGAAAAATCAGAAAAATCACATGCTATTAGGCTGATTTTTGTTTTTAACTATTTTGCTTTTCCTCATCAAATTTACCTTGCTTGGTACATTTTTGTAAAGTTTATATTACATTTTTAGCACCAAGCTAATATTTTCTGAAATTTTTTCTCATCTGTAAACCTCTTATGAGTCTGGTTTGTCTATTTGTAATGTTATTGAAATATTAACTAATACTCCTCAATTCTATTTCATTTTCCAGGTCTAAGGAGAAAAAATTCAAAGACTTATCCACTTTTCTAAACCTGTGAGGTGATATTGAGTCTCCTCTGAAGAAAATATTTGTTTGTATCATCTGTCCTTAAAAGTGAACATTAAAATCTTTCGAAGAATCTCCAGTTAATCCATTTATCCATTACATCACAATCCTAATAAGCAAATGTTAATATATACATATTTATACTTTTACGTCAGCCACAATTAAAAAATAAAAGTATTTTAAATGTTATTAGCAATGTAGTTTCTATCTATTGTAATAAAAGTTAACTATGTATTCATTGTTCAAATTCAGATACAATTTATCGTTAAATATGGGTTACATATAACATTTTTCTATAAAATGTATATTTGCATATTTAATATTTTTGCATAAAAAATTGAACATAAAACAATTTTAAATTAACTTCAAACACTTTCAATATCATTAACTCCCTCAATATTCCTTTACTTATCGGGTTATTTAAAAATTATTTCATTTTTTATTTATTTCAAACTATATTTAGCACAGAAACAATACGTAACATAACTATTCATTTTGCCGTTACCATTTTATTCGCATAAAACTGTTTTAAATTATTGACCACTTATTGACACACTAACACAATGTTATAACAAATTTAGATTCTATTTGAATATTCCACCCACAGTTATTTACTAAGTATTTAATTGATCAAGTAGCTTTTTTAATTGTAAAATATCGAGTGAATAGTGAACAGTGAATAAACATTCTTTTATTACCAATAACAAATATTCACACGAAATAGTATTAGCAATAAACTGATTTAATGTTTTCACTGTTATTGATGACGTAAATGACGTGATTACTTTGCAGACACAACTAAAGACCCGAAGTGTATGAAATTTAATGTTCCAAATGAATACTTTGAGAAAGACGTGGATGTACTTGGAGCAGATATTTACATTTATTTCAAAGTAAAATCAAAATCAAAACGGCGGAAAAGAACAAGACGAGTTGTACTGAAAGTTTTTACACTACAAGCTGGGACAAAACGGAAGCAAAATGTTGCAAAACTAAAAGTTCGACCAAATGACACTGCATGGTATAAGGTCTCACTACCACTCTCTGTTACAAAAAACGCCGAGAGTGAGCAGAATAAAACTCTTTCTATGTGTATAGACTGTAAACGATGCAATAGTCGAACAAAGATAACATTTCCTCTCAAAATACACCCTTCTCGACGAAAACCGAAGAAGACCAGGAAAAATAGAGGCAAGAAAAAAAGAAAACGAAGACGCCACACAAACAAGAAAAGGAAAAAGAAAACAAAGAAATTACAGGTTCATAGACCATTTCTTATTTACAGATTTAGACATAATCATCGATCAAAAAGACATACTGAAAATTGTTTACCAGAGAATAATACTCAAATATGTTGTCGACACGAGGAGTTTGTGTCATTTTCGGACTTGGGGTTTGAACAAGACATTTTGTTCCCTTCTGGGGTGTCATACTCCTCTTGTATGGGAAGCTGTGATGGTAATACTCATCCCCAGAATCACAGCAGTACATGTGAAATCATTGACTCTCAAGAAACAAACACATTTATTGTTTTACGTGACCGCATAGGGATTCTTACACTAAAGAACGGAAATGTATTGAATTGTGGATGTGTACACAGTATATAGAATTATATATTCTATGTTTTTAGTTTACTTTTGATGTTATGGATTTTGTGCCTTTTTATATTAATGTGCTTTTGAATTTCCTGTCATCATATTGTAAAATATGCATAATAAAAGACAAAAGCATCTTAATACTGTATTGTAACAATGAAATCGACTTCCTGAGAACAATTTATTTCAGGACATTTTTTGTCTACTTATCACATCTATTTTCTTGAGACAAGTAAGAGGCGAAGATTTCATGAAACATATGCAGATAACGAACAGTATTCAAGATCAAAAATCCATAAAAACAATATAAAAACAGGAGGACAGGAAACACGGGGCTCCAAGACATCAGAGGTGGGATCAGGTGTCATGGAGGAGTGAGCATCCCCTGCCGACCGGTCATACCGCCGTGTACTCCTTGTCATGACCAGGAAATAAGGGATAAATCCGTCGTCAATTCAGTGTACAAATAATGGACCAACAATAAGTAAGAAAAAGTCAGTCAGCATTTGACTCTATGATAAATTGTATTTCTAACAAGGTCACTGTATCGACCATAGAACTTACGAAATTATGACTGCTGATATTCTTGTTTCATCAACTTGTTTGTCAATTATATACCTCGTTGTAGAAATTGTTCATACGTAGAGAATGCTCTTGCATATCGAATCAACTGAGATATGTAAACTCCGTATGCAGGTATATTGCTGCATAAGTAAGGAAAAAAGGCGATAGAAAAGTTAAAGTCATCACGTTTATCATAGAGCTTTGTTGTAAAATTACCATTTGTGTCTATGCTTATAACTTAAAAGAATTACTTTAGTAAGCTACATGATACCGATATATTGATCCTTTAACTTGGCCTCCTGACTTCCATTGAAATTAAACACGTATTTATGTGCTCTGGTTGTCTTCAAAAAGTTGACATTACCCTTATTATTACTTTTCAAGAATACACCGATCTTACAATCTAAACAAATGTCTTTTAGAATTTTGAGAATTCGAGCTTAAAGATGGTAAATACTAGTAAATAAGATGTCAAAATATTCTGATTCTTAAAGATAATATTTAAAGATAATATGATTACCGTAAAACGATTACAAGTAAACCTTTTTTGATAATTTTATGAAAGTATAGAGTTGGCTGGTTGCTGTCTGTTAATTGAATAAGTGAAGAATACCAAACATAATAAAGTGCAGTTTTAAAAATAAATAGACATTGAACAACTCTAGGCCTACAGTCTAAATAACTAATATTTTAATTTTACTTGTTAGGATTTTTACTCTCTGTATAAACTCCGCACTTTTCTTTTTCTCCCTTCATGATAAAGAGCGCACGGGGGGTCCGCCCAGGGGACAAGAGATGCTAAATGACTACTTTTTGGTACCTGATCCCACCCCCTTATGCTTTTTAAGTCTCGTGTTTGCTCTGCATCATGTTAGAATTGATACAAAGATTTATTTGATTGATTACGGTTCGTTGGCTTCATATTTCATACAAACCACAACCGTATCACGGCTTCAAAATTATTAGTACGAATGAAATATATGGAGATAACGAACCGTTTCCAAGCTCAAAAGTCCATTAAACAATACAGAATAGGAGCAGAAACCTCCAAAACATCAGAGGTGGGATCGGGTGCTATGAAGGAGTGAGCATCCCTTGCCGACCGGTCACAATCACCGTGTGCTTTTTGTCATGATTGGGAAAAAAGAAAGAGTTTTAAAGAAAAAGCCGTTAAGCAACCCAGAATATCTATCGATTTGTATGAAGTCATATCCGAAAACACTGAAAAAAACCCGAAAATATGATTCGAGTGTGCAGCAGGTGACAACAGGGTGTAAACGCAAGATACATGTATTTTAATACTTACTAATCGATTGTCACTTTTATAAAGCACATCGCGAGTATTTCGGTCAAACGTAGGTTTTTTGCGCATTCAATTATTTTATTGTAAATTTGCTGACGACTAAAATATCAATCTTTAAAATATATCTCTATATATTTTAGTAGTCATGAAAAGATAAATACCGCCCTTTTACATGTATCTAACACATGTCGTTTTGTCAAAAAACACGTTGCTTTGACCTTACTTGGATTATATACTTTAGTGTATATACTTTTGTAAACATGCGTGTAGATCTATTAGCGGAATTTTCTTGAAGATATGTGTTTAAATAACAACTACTTTTCTTATCATCAAACAACTTGTATGTGATGATAAATAAAACTTTCACAAGGTCAGGTGTACCAACATATATTTGTAGCCAGTTAAAAATTTACCGACTGAAAGTGTTTTCAAGAATTTATTATCCATATAGCTTAAAAGAAAACCCAACTTATAGAATAAACAGGCTAAAACGTTTTATTATTTCAGGTCAAATTTTATCATATTTCGAATACATTCCCAGTCTTTGATTTTGTTTTCTCAGTATTTTTTAAATTATCAAACCGTTCGCAATTCCCCCATGCACCAAATACAACGGAGCAAAAAAGTAGCGAATTCAAGAACTTTTAGCAGGGTCTAACTTTGCCTTGCAGGTAAAGTTGAAATTTTCCATCATGAACTTTAAATGAGTTAATCAAATCAACATTTTCCTTTTTTTGTGTATGTAAGACATATTCTGCATGTAAGGTAAAGAATAGATAAAATGGATAAGATGGATGAGGTAATCTTGTATTGAGTGATTTGAGGGTTGATTAAAAAACTGCGTATCCTTCTGTTTTTAATAATCTGGAAGCCAGAAAAATAGAAGTAGAAAGAAAGATTTCAATATCAATATGTTCTTGTCATGGCTGACTTCTGCAATGTAAGATTTAACCTAAGTTGATAAAAAAATGGGTCGCAACTGTTCCTTCGCCTTGCGCTCGGCACTTGAAGTGAAAGTTGTGGGTCTTTCGGATGAGACCTTAAAAACCGAAGTCCCGTTCACGGCAGGCATTGGCATGATAATGACAAATCACTGCTCAAAGGTCAGAATTTGAAGGCCTTCACCGGTATATGGTGACGTCTCTACATGAGTGACAAATTCTCGAATTGGACGTAAAACAACATGCAATTAATTAATTTGAGATCTTAAAATTTACATGAGACTTTGAATCCATTCTGAGAAACTGTCAAGGATTTTTCTTCATATTGTTTTATAATCACCTTAAGAAATCTTCTTTAGAACTTATAATATCAATAACATCTTGAGGTCGGGTGTAATACCAGTTATTAAAAAATAATAATAATAAAAAGAACAATGGCGAAAAAGGAAACTATCTCTTTTAGCGATTGAGATTAATTAAAAATTTTATTGTATCAATAAATATCTATAGGCCGACTGACTTTTTTAGATAAATTGTTTGACACACTGAATTGTTGTTCGGATTTTCTGTTTTTCCCCGATCATAACAATGAGCACACGGCGAGTGTGACTGGCAGGGGCTGCTCACTCCTCCATGGCACGTGATTCCACCTCTGATGATTTGGAGGTCTGTGTTTGGTCTTCAATTTTGTGTTGTTTAATGGACTTTAGAGCTTGAATACTTTACAATAGATTCATATATTTTATTGGCACATTTAAGCTTATGGACCTTATACGAGTAGGTTAATGTAGCAATATGTCCTTCCATAAACCTTGGTTGTTTTAAAAAAAAAAGCCTTTGATATCCTTAGCCAGCATTGTATCTCAATGTTCTTGACATAGAATAAAAAAGTGATTCTTTTAGCCTTTTTCAAAATGTTTATTTTAATTTTCACAGGGATGAACTTAAGTTTTGTGCAGGTATGATTCAATTTTTTTAAGTAGCTATTTATTATAATTACATTAAGAAATCGTACCTCGGTTAAGACTACTTTTGTACAAATCTTGTACCAACCACCCTTCATGTATATGCTACATGAAGTATAAATAAAATTTCACTTGATTTAAAGGGTGTTAAGAAAAACGAAAAACGATGAGAAGATACATGTATTAACAATTTGTGATATTTCATGTTTACAGAGTCCATTCAATTTCTTGCTACTGATAAGGTTTTAACAGTCTTTTGTTGAATCAATAAAGGAGGGGCAGGTATTAAAACAGATGATGTCTGTTCAGAAAAAATACAATGATGCATATTTGTGACAAATATTAAGCACGCAGGTCAAAACATCCTTTCAAATACTATGCAAAAATTATTAAATCTATTAAATACTTCAAAATGACAAACCTATTCTTTTGAAAAGTGATATATCGTTCTTATACCTACGCTCATCAGCTTGTCTGATGCAAGATAAGCTATGAAGAAACAAAAGTAAATTATCCTTTATTTTCACTCAAAATGACCAGCATTTCTATCATTCGGATGCTTTAAAGATGTTATATATTTTTTCAGCAAGGAAGAAAAATCCTATAATTTCCTGCTAGAAATTATTTGCTATAAATCTAAAGCACGCTCTTGTGATTTTGTCAGACTTGAAAATTCGTCTCTTTAGTTAAGCGCTACTTTGAAATTTTTGAAAATATTTCATCCCGGAACGAACTTTCTTAACACCCCTTAGTTATCGTTTTATGACACCTTCTGAATAATAAATACACGTATTCCACGCTATTTTATTCATTTTGTCACCTTAATTTGTCATGTTATAGATCTGAAATACACGTTTTAGAAATAACTTTGAGATAAACCTAATAACAACAACTCTATCATTGGTCTTATAAAACTCATATGTAAAAGAAGAAATAGCATGGAACTTAACGAATTGAAGTATGAAATATACAGTGCTGAGTGCTGATCTTCTAACTACTTTAGATGTAAATGATCATTGAATCCTGAAACTGTTTTCCATACTAGCATATGTGATGAAGACAATAATTAGTATGTTTCCTGGATAGACACATATGTTTTAGCTATGAGCTATATAAAGTGCATTTAAATTAAAATATTGTCATTTTCGTCGAACGGAAAAGGTCAACCCTCTATTAAACGTTAGAACAAAATTGACCAGGAGGAAATCTTCGTGAATGATATTGCTAGAGTTTTTTGAAACATATTTTAAAAATTCTTTTTAAATGCAAATCATGTATATATACACGAGTACCGAACCTCCTTGTTAGCTGTTTTAAATTTTGGATTATGAAACTTGAAAGAATACAGTATTGA